TTTTTTGGTTGTTATTGCGGGGACGGGGTGTGAGGGAGGAGGTGCGGGAAATGCAGGAGATATGGTCGAGGGCGTTCTCGACCACTGAGGGGGGGATGTTGCGGTCCTTGAAAAACAAGGACATCTGAGATGTACGGGAGTGGAATGCCTCATCCTGGGAGCAGATGCGGCGGAGGCGAAGGAATTGGGAATAGGGGATGGCATTTTTGCAGGAAGTTGGGTGGTAGGAGGTGTATTCTAGGTAGCTGTGGGAGTCGGTGGGCTTGAAAGCTTCAAAATCTCCCCTCCCCCTACCGCATCCCAAAACCAGCCCAGCTCGTCCCCGCCTCCCTAACCTGTTCTTCCTCCCACCTATCCCCTCCTCCCACCTCAAGCCCCACCCCCAACTCTTACCTACTAACCTCATCCCGCTCCCTTGACCTGTCCGTCCTCCCTGGACTGACCTATCTCCTCCCTAACTCCCCACCTACAGTTACCTTTACTGGCTCTATCCCCACCTCTTTGACCTGTCTGTCTCCTCTCCACCTACCTTCTCCTCTTTCCATCTTCTATCTGCCTCCCCCTCTCTCCCTATTTATTTCAGAACCCCCTTCCCCTCCCCCATTTCTGATGAAGGGTCTAGGCCCGAAACGTCAGCCTTCCTGCTCCTATAATGTTGCTTGGCCTGCTGGGTACATGAATAGGAAGGTTTAGAGGGAAATGGGCCAAATGCTGGCAAATGGGACTATGTCAGATTGGGATATCTTGGTTGGCGCAGATTAGTTGGACCCGAAGGGTCTATTTCTATACTGCATGACTCTATGACTAGTTGACTCTATATCTCTATAAACAAAACTGCATTCTTTGTAGAGTCTTTAGGAGCATGTAGACATACTTTGAAGTGGCCGAAATCCACTGTCATTTTGTCTCCCAAACATGTATTGGTGAGAATGCATTAAAGACTACAGCAAGGCATTTTTTTTTCTCTATTTGTACCTAGCCATTCATTTTGTGTTCACAGTCTGAAAGCACATTGAAGTTGTTATTGCACAAGGGTTGCTCCAAATCCTATCTTATGGCATCACACTGCATGGTGACATCATGATTGATATTGTAGTAATTTAGTATTGTTGTTATTGTCACTGGTTGTTCAATTCCAGTGAAAGCTGCTTCTTGTTCTGTACTCCCATACCACAGCACATCCTTGGCAGTGAGCTTATGTAGAGTTTCATACTCTGATGAGAAAGTCAAGCAAGAGCTTCACTAAAGGTTTTAAGAATCCAACAAATCATTGCTTTGCTTTCACATCTGTTGATCACTGCATGTCTGCTACCAGCTCTCACCATGTCAGGATATTTGGATGCATCTACACCAAATAGATTGTAGAAGTTTGAGAAAGCAGCTCACCACCAAAGTTTCAACAGCAACTAAGGATGGGCAATAAATAAAATCAGAAAATGCTGGAGAAACTCAACAGGTCTGGCAGCATCTGTGGAGTGAAAGACAGTTTTAATATTTCAAGTCCAACTCTTCTTCAGAATTAATTCCACTTCTGCTGGACTCAAAACATTAACTCCATTTCTGTCTCCACAGATTCTGCCAGACCTACTGAGTTTCTCCAACACTTTCCATTTTCATTCAGTTTTCCAGCATCCACCATATTTTGCTTTTAGATGGACAATAAATGCTGACCCAGCCAGCGAAGCCCACTTTCTTTGAATGAACAATTAAAAAAAATGATCTGGGCAAGGTTCTTCCACTGTCTGCTCTCGAAATTAGGCATCCTCAACTGAATCTTTTTCTTGTTCAGGTTCAGGTTCAGGTTCAGGTTCATCTGGTGATCTATTTCTAGCTGTTACAATAGGTTCTGAGTGTAGTCCGCAATGTCTTCTTCCATTGTGTCTTAACATCAAAGATTAGCAGATCATCCACAATAACTTCCACTCTGGAAAACTCACTGACTTTCTTGTGCTGTTCTTCTGGAGCAGTGCAAGTGCCAAATAGCATGTGCAACCATTTACATCTCCAGAATATCCTCCAGAATGTAGATCAGGAACTGTTGCTTTCATTCAGGTCTTCCATTTAAGATAGAGATGAGGAATTTTTTTTTTCTTGGAACCAAAGCTGTGTTGAGGTCAGGAGCAGGGTGGCCCAAGTGAACCCAATTTAAGCATTGGTGAGCAGTTTATTTTTCAGCAAATGCTTCTTGATAGCAGTTTGATGATCCCTTCCATCACTTTGTTCATGATTGAGAGTAGACTGATGGTTGGTATTTGATTGGGTTGAATTTGTCCTACTTTTTGTGTACAAGATATACCAGGGCAATTTTCCACATTGTAGGGTAGATGCAGCAAATATTGATCAATAGTCTCCCTTTCCTCTTGAGGTCTGATGTTCAACATATACCATTCATAAGTAATATTAGTGTAGGATCAAAGTGTGTGTTTTCAAGTCCTACAGAATCTCTCCTGTCTGACATTTCTCTCCAAGTTGAGATCTGCACTGCAACACAGCTTGCAGCATTCTTTCCCCAGCATCGAGGGCAAGATGGTATTCCTATATGGTCAGGTTTTTAGTTAACTCTGTAGCTATTTCAGAGTTTAGCCATTGAAAGTGGAAAAAATTCCAATTGTCTCATATCTCATTTAATTTCCATAGCAACAAGGATTGGAAACTGCACTGCAGTTTTGACTCACCCATTAAATCTAAAAGAGAATCAGAAGTTGCTGGAAAAACTCAGTAAGTTGGACAGCTTCTTTGGAGAGAAAGCAGAGTTAACGTTTTGTGTCCAGTGATGCTTCTTTAGAATCCAAGTTCTTTTTAAATTGTACTTGTTGCTGTTTCCTTCAGCAGCTGACTCTCTTACAGTTCTAAAAATTAACACATTTTCAGCTGTATCACTCTGATAGCGTTTTACAAATGACGTGCTTTAGTGGCTCCCACAGACTGCATTCAAAGGCACCTCTAGAAGTAGAGGCTACATGGCCGTGGCAATGAGCTAATACACTAAATATAATTGTGTTTCTCTGAACAGCACCAACCTCCTGTTTGTGGCTTTAAACATCCTTCAGGCAATAGTATCTTATTAATGGTGGTGTTCACTTGCCATACAGCATGAAAACACTCAACCTAAGCAGTGAGAACTGTACTAAAAGAAAATGAACACCAATACAACTATTGAAACTAATCAACTAAAGATAAAAAAAAGTGCGTTTTCAAATAAATATATTTAAAATTTGCTCACATGTAAGCCTTGTAATTATTGCCTATTTTTTGAATCCTTATATCATACTTGGAGTCTATGAAAGGTTCAGTTGTGGCGTAAGTGTTTGTCAGGGCTACCACACTTGCTATGTCCTGAAAATCATAGTGATTTTCTACTTTCACCTGGTACCATCCAATAAAGGCAGCATATGGAAAAGGTACAAGAGAGAAAGAGAGAGAAAGAGAAAAGAATCAGATTATGTGCACTTATCTGAAATAATACAGAAGCAATTTTCGTCCATGAGAATTTTGAAATGATCTTGCAAAGTATCTGATAATATCTACGTTATATAATATCGTTCTACACACACTATACAAGTCAAAATTTGATACAAGCTTTTGAATATTGGATCGATTTATGTCAATGGTGACAAACAGAAAGAATCTTTGGTTAAATAACATTGAAAGTTTAGGCTTGCATTGCATACAATCTTCTGACCTTGCAACACCTGGTCAGTACTTGGTAGACACAGTGAGCTGGTTTGCACTGTCAAAGAATTACAGTGCTACCATATTTTCATTCTGCAATACTGAGAAGCAGTAAGAATTTCTAACTTAAGGTTTAGAGAAATGTTTCTGTTCAAATATTTTTGACATACTACAGACTTCTGGCTGAGACAACTGAAACGAGTTAGTTACCTTTCCCATGCCTGAATGAGCATGTCCGATCTTCACAACAGCAGGAAATGTTGGCATGGTTAACTGAAAATACAGAAAATGTTCCCATTATATTTAATACATTTCAATTTTATTCACACTGTGCTTAAATGGAACATATTTCATAACGTATCAGATATTAGCAAGAACATTGAGTCGTGTTCATTATTACTCATTCAACAGGAACTTTGGGATTTAATGACAATTCAGATATATATTAAAACTCTTGTACCAACAACAGCCTAACAACACTTTTATGCAGCAAAATCTCTCAGGAAATCCACATTTAGGTGTTAGACCTCAGCCATGGTCAGTAAGTCATCATGGGTTGGATTTTCATCTGATTACTTCCATCAGGTAGAACAAGGTCATAGATTATCTGATGCATGTGGTCAGTAATTCCAATCATTTCTATGATTATGTCTCATCTAAATAGAATTGGTGAGCAGCCAACAGAAATGAGCATTTATAAGCAGATCATCAATCAAAGAGAAAAATTGATGTCGCAGCTCCTATGATCCTCTACCGGGGTTGTCTCCCTTACCCTCAACTTAACTGCACTTGCAGGGCTCCTACTGGAAATGCCAGATTCCCCATCTCTTCTGAGTAGTGAGCAGTTTGCTCATAATGCAAATGAGATCCAACCACAAAAATGGTTTGCACCACCAACTGCTTCCACTGAAAAAAACTTCGTCACTCTGCCTGTTTCCTGTATGGAGGGATAACTGTTTGAAAACAACCCCAGGTTTAGCACATTCGTGCTGTGGTTTTAACCACCTGATTTTTGTGTAATGCAGAATCATACCACTAACGGACAGTACATTGCATAACATGTCAATGTCATTTTCAGCTTTATCTCCAAATTTAAAAAATGTTGTATTCAAAGAAACAGTTTTATAACGGAACTATCAAGTTGACACCCAGGTAAGGTCGGGGCACTTATCTATTTGCAGTACTCCCTTATTATCCCTCATCTCTTCTTAAATCTTTGAGTGCACTTTTACGTTATAGGTTCTATAAACTATCACCCACCTTGCAAAATATCAGTCATAAGCATGGATCACTGGCTACACGTTAGATAACTTTTTCAAGCGCTAAAGGATTCAAACACAGTCTACCATCTTGCACGTGATCATTCAATGCTCCCTATGCTGTAGGAATTTATAAAACATACTAATTTAAGAGCTTGAATTGCTAACTTACATGTTGAAATGACTGGGTTAATTATACTTCATCATTGTCTGATCAAAACCAAGTCCCAGCTGTGCTGTACTATGCTTATGTTGTACTCTAAACAACAAAGGCTTAGGCTATATTCACAGAACACATAATGTATGACTTGGATTGGTCTGAATTGTATGACATGAAATCATTTTTTGGGGTGTCAAAAACAGTCAAATCAATGTGTTGAACCTTTGCTCAAATTTGTTAAAAACTCACCAGTAGATTTAGATTTTTTTCCTATTCATTTGTGGGATGTGGGCATCACCGGCTGGCCAGCATTTCTTGCCCATCCCTAGCTGCCCTTCAAAAGGTGGTGGTAAGCTATCTCTTAAACCACTGCAGTCTACCTTCTGTAGACTGACCCACAATGCCACTGGGGGAGGGAATTCCAGGATTTTGACCCAGCGACAGTGAAGGAATGGCGATATATTTCCAAGTCAGGATGGTGAGTGGGTTGGAGGGGAACTTGGAGGTGGTGGTGTTCACATGTATCTGCTGCACTTGTCCTTCTAGATGGAAGTGGTTGTGGGTTTGGAAGGTGCTGTCTGAGGATCTTTGGCGAATTTCTGCAGTGCATTTTGTAGTTAGTACACACTGCTGCTACTGAGCATCTGTGGTGGATGGAATGGATGCTGGTGGATGTAGTGTCAATCAAACAGGATAGTGTCAAGCCCCTTTAGTGATGTTGGGCTACACTCATCCAGTCAAGTGGCGAATATTCCATCACACTCCTGACTTGTGCCTTGTAGATGGTGGACAGACCTTAAGGAGTCAGGAGGTGAGTTACTCGCTGCAGTATTCCTAGCTTCTGACCTGCCCGATTAGCCTTGTGTTTATGTGGCAAGTCCAGTTGGGTTTCTGGTCAATGATAACCCGCAGGATGTTGATAGTGGGGAATTCAGTGATGGTAACACCATTGAATGTCAATGGGCAGGGGTTAGATTTTCTCTTGTTGGAGATGGTCATAGCCTGGCATTTGTGTGGCACAAATGTCACTTGCCACTTGTCAGCCCAACCTGGATATTGTCCAGATCTTGTTGCATTTGAACACGGACTACTTCAGTGTCTGAGGAGTCACAAATGTTGCTGAGCATTATGTAATCATCAGCGAACATCCCCCACTTCTGACCTTATGATAGAGGGAAGGTCATTGATGAAGCAGATGAAGACGGTTGGGCCAAGGACACTATCCTGAGGAACTCCTGCAGAAATGTCCTGGAGCTGAAATGATTGACCTCCAACAACCACAACCATCTTCCTATGTGTCAGGTATGACGCCAGCCATCAGAGAGTTTGCCCTCTGATACCCATTGATTCCAGTTTAGCTAGGGCTCCTTGATGCCATTCCCGGTCGAATGCAGCCTTGATATCAAGGGCTGTCACTCTCACCTCCTCTGGAATTCAGCTCTTTTGTCCATGCTTGAACCAAGATTGTAATGAGGTCAGGAGCCGAGTGGCCCTGGCAGAACCCAAACTGGGTGTCACTGAGCAGGTTATTGCTGAGCAGGTGCTGCTTGATAGCACTGTTGATAACACCTTCCATCACTTTACTGATGATCAAGAGTAGACTGATGGGGCGGTAATTGGCCGGGTTGGATTTGACATACCTTTTGTGTACAGGACATTCTGGGCAATTTTCCATATTGCCGGGTAGATACCAGTGTTGTAACTGTACTGGAACAGCTTGGCTAGGGGAGCGGCAAGTTCTGGAGCACAAGTCTTCAGCACTATTGTTGGAATGTTGTCATGGCCTGTAGCCTTTGCAGTGTTCAGTGTCTCCAACCGTTTCTTGATATCACATGGAGTGAATCAAATTGGCTGAAGACTGGTATCTATAATGCAGAGGACCACTGGAGGAGGCTGAGATGGATCATCCACACAGAACTTCTGGCTGAAGATTGCTGCAAACGCTTCAGCCTTATCTTTTGCACTGATGTGCTGGACTCTTCCATCATTGAGGATGGGGATATGTGTGGAGCTTCCTCCTCCAGTGAGTTGTTTAATTGTTCACCACCATTCACAACTGGATATGGCAAGACTGTAGAGCTTAGATCTGATCTGTTGGCTGTGGGATTGCTTAGCTCTGTCTATCACTTCTGCTTTCACTGTTTGATGTGCAAGTGGTCCTGTTTGGTGGCTTCAACAGGTTGTTACCTCATCTCCAGGTACGCCTGGTGCTGCTCCTGGCATGTCGTCCTGCACTCCCCATTGAACCAGGATTGATTTCCTGGCTTGATGGTAATGGTTGAGTGAGGGATATGCCAGGCCATGAGGTTACAGATTGTGGTGGAGTACAATTCTGCTGCTGTTGATGGCCCACAGCGCCCCTTTGATGCCCAGTCTTGCGTTGCTAGATCTGTGCAAAGTCTGTCCCATTTAGCATGGTGATAGTGCCAAACAACACGATGGAAGTTATTCTCAGTGTGAAGGCGGGACTTCATCTCCACAAGGACTGTGCGATGGTCACTCGTACCGATACTGTCATGGGCAGATGCAACTGCAGCTGGCAGATTAGTAAGGATGAGGTCAAATATGTTTTTCCCTCTTGTTGGTTCCCTCACCACCTGCTGCAGACCCAGTTGAGCAGCTACATCCTTTAGGACCCGGCCAGCTCGATCACTGGTACTGCTGCTGAGCTACTCTTGGTGCTGGACATTGAAATCCCCCACCCAGAGTACATTTTGTGCCCTTGCCATCCTCAGTGCTTCCTCTAAGAGTTGTTCAACATGGAGGAGTACTGATTCATCAGCTGAGGGAGGAAGGTACGTGATAATCAGCAGGAGGTATCCTTGCCCATGTTTAACCTGAAGTCATGAGACTTCATGGGATCCAGAGTCAATGTTGAGCACTCCTAGAGCAACACCCTCTCGACCACTGTGCCGCCCCCTCTGCTGGGTCTGTTCTGCTGGTGGGACAGGACATATCCAGGGATGGTGACAGTGGTGTCTGGGACATTGTCTGTAAGGTATGATTCTGTGAATATGGCTATGTCAGGCTATTGCTTAACTAGTCTGCTTATCTGGGAATAATACGATGGAGATTTTACTCCCAATTGGGCAGATTTGAGTCAAATGGAGAGTTAAAATGTTAAAATTTTAATTCTGACCCCATTTCTCCTTTAACCTTTTCACTTTTGAGTTAAAGCACCACAGTTAAAATTCCACAGCTTGCAGGAGAATCCTGATAATGTTTAGTACGTGCCATGTTTCATCTGCATAATGCATTCATTGTTCTGATTAAAGACACAGTAATAAACATTTTTAAAATATATTTTATTTAATTTTTATGACTTTAAATATGAAAAGCCACTAACTTATAATGTTGTGCAGAATTTAACATCATTGATGGAGGGCTCATCCATGTCTGGAGATCAACCTCAGTGTTGCCAAACACTTAACTGGGCTAAGATGGGAATTCCCTTGGGTCGAAGAGCCAGAGGCGTGGAAGATCCATCTTTTGAAAGATGCAGGATATTCAGAGGCTGTAACTTTTTATTACTCAGCAGCACCATAAAGGAGATGATGGCTACTGCCAGTAATAAACCCAATGAGGCCCCCCATTGCAGAGGATGCAGGTCATGGGAGAGAGTTCATTATTAATTCACAGGATGTGGGCATCATTGGCTCAGCCAGCTTTTATTGTCTGTGCTTACTTGCCCTTGAAGGTGATTGTGATCTGCCTCCTTGAACCGCTGCAGTTCTTGTGCAATAGATAGACTCACAATGTTGTTAGGGAGGGATTCCCGGGTTTTGACAGAGTGACAGACAAGGAATGGCAATATATGTTCATTCGGGATAGTAAGTGGCTTGGAAGGGAACTTG